GCACTCAGCACTCTGAGCAGCGGATATCTTTACTTTACATGAGTGTGCAATTGCTGCCTTTTCCATATTAGATATGGAATCAAAGTGTCGCCTTGAAAGCGAATTAGTCTGGTTGTAAACGAGGGCAAAACAAAGCAGCTCCGCTCAAGTCTAGGCACCCAAGTCTTTGTTGACTGCTAAAATTTCGAAAAAATTAGAGGATTTCGTTTATTTGGGAATACCGATAATAATGCCAGCTTCAAAATCCAACTTGCCAACAAGTGATACTTTTTTACTGAGTAGCAAATTGCGAAGTAAAGTCCTCTCTATGAACGAAAAATTAGTAAATGTCTTCATTAGTAAATATAGCCTTCAAACAAAAGTCCCATGTATTGACTAATTTCGTGCTTCTTTTTTTATGTACAATACAATGCATCTCTACATATAGGCTAGGAAAAATCTCACTTTCACAGATTTATTTAATCTACATAAACACATTTGTGTAGTTTTATAGTGTCTAAGCACATACATACATATGTACATATTTACAAATATACACACTTTTTTATATACTACAACAAATTTCTCGCTGATCAGCTTACAAACCATTTATTTACCAAACGCTTCTACATAGACAAAACATTAACACAGACCCAGTGGGAAAATGTAATGTATGGTAATCGAGAAAATAACACCGTGCGACAGTAAATTTTCCACACAAAAAATTTAATACATTCTCGAATGGGAAAATTAAAGTAAAACTACGAATTTGGTTTTTCTCTCTGACGTCAGGATTTTTTTGAAAGGACTTTGAAATTTAAAAAATATGATTATTTCAAAAATTTGTTTAAATAATTCTGTGCAATGTAGAATAACAACAAAGGTATCATATAAGAGCAAAAATTCTGTAAAATTATAACGGGATACATTTTTTATGCATAAGGGCGAATGGGTATGGAAAATGTCCTTCAAAAATCTTGCCCTTAGATATCCTAGAAAATTTGCAAAATTTATTTTTGAAAAAGAAAAATGATTGTTTGAGTATTAATATACATACGACCACATCGTTGAATTTCGTCCTGCAAACTTTATCATTACTACTTTTCCCACTGGGGGCATGTGAAGATTACATACATACCAACACACATATCTATGTATGTTTGTTTATACGTAAACGCAGGAGATTAAAACTGTTGGCCGCCAACATAGACTTAACCAGCTGCAATAGCAGCACCAATCACTCAAACCTCTGGTAAAAATCAGTTTAATTATTTATTTTTTTTTTATCGCCAACTGCAGCATCTATGTATGTAGATTTATTGCGATCACTTACAACTTTATTTGTACAAATGTGTGCATGTGTGTTGCGGCCGCATCCAGTGACCGTGTGTGGGCTTAAGCAAAGACTTAAGTTGACAAAGTCACTTCAAAACAAAGACGATCAACAAAATCGTATCCAAACAGTCATGCAACCAAACAAAGTTAATCATTTTATGCAGACAGCGCTTTCACTTAACATAATGAAATTGCAGCAGCAACAAGCAACAGCAGTTTGTTTCAGGAGTACACACGAGAAATGAGAAAAAATTATGATCCGGTCGCGCCTACATAAAAGTCGTTAAAATAAATATGCAGATGCTACAAACATATTGCATGCAAATATACCTACTACTAAAGTTTAACAATTTCAAAATCTGCTGCTATGTTCATATAATATGTTCATATGTATGTAGATATATTTTTTATGTACATATGTACTACAAATTGTGTGCTTATAAACAAAAAATAACAGCCATCAGTTTTGTGCCTAGTGCTACGCTTTAAACTGCATCAGTTGCAGTTCATTTCTCTTCCGATTTCCACGCATCTTCCATTAATAAAAAGTTCAAAGCTTACTGCTGGCTAATGTTGTTGCTCTTGGAAGTATATATGAATATGCATCGCACGAATTTTCCTGCTTTATTTCTTCAATCATTCATTCAATTTTGATTGTTTTATTAGTTCCGCTGCAACAAATAATCATTAATCATTTATTTTCTTCGCGCTGTTGCTTGTTTGTGTTTCATATGTGGCTAATAACTCGAATCTCCATACCGCGCCGTCAATGGTTTGAAGCCACCCAACAGTTCACCTAATTAATATTTGTTTTCATGATCTTTTTCCGTTGAACGATCGATTTATTTTTGAAACGTCAAAGCCCTACTGCAAATCATAGCAATAATTGATAAAGTATTGCAAAGATCAGAGTTCGAACTCAAAAGTTGAGGATGATCGTGCTGCTTTATTCTTCTTGTTGGACGGGTCCAACAAAACACGCCAGTCGTTTCGCTTTGGTGCCAATTGACGCAAACTAAAAATGCCAAGTGAAGCCGTTCTACTCTCTGTCTTCGTATTTGCATCGCAGTGGATGCATTTCTCTTCTTTTGATACCAGCATCGCGACCCTTATTGTATACTTCCTTGGCTGGAGCGTTCATATGCATTCGTATGGCATGTCCGAGCCAGCGGAGCCGCTGTATTTAAATTCGCCATGTCTATGTTGTTGAAAAACTCATACGGTCCTCGTACCATCGTCTACGATATTCACCGTCCGAAAAAACTCGTAAATCTTTCGCAGAGTATTTCTCTCGAATACTTCAAGGGTCCGTGCTTCTGTGCGATATACCAACACAGGCATTAAGAGTTGCTTGTATAGTACGGTTTTTGAACGACGCCTGTAATCAAACAGTTAGGAGAGGAGTTTCCCCAATTCTGACGGAGGTGGTTGCCTTGCTCAGCGACATTTTGCACCGCCATCGAAGGCGACCTTAAAATCGACAAAGAAATGGTGTAGATTCTATTTTCGTCTTGTCCAAACTTTGCCGCGATCAGCTGCAGCAGTTTTTTTCAACAGCAGAATTGCTAGTCGTACCACGTAAAAATAGTCAAAGCTTGTGTTCATCTTCTCCATTGCTTTCACTGCTGTTATCTTTTTATAGACATGAAACGTCTTTCCTCCATAATTTTAGCTTCTTGTGGACATCAGTCACTAGGTCGCCGTGGTTGCTCTAACAGGAACTCACTCTGGTATTTAAACCTTCCAAACTCTCCGACCGTTTTTCCTGTGGGCCCGCATTGCAACTCTTAGTTCTCTTCGTTCGTTGCCCAACATTCCTTATAGCTTCAGTTGCTCTTTCGAGCTTTCTGAAATCCCACCACTTTTTTGGCGGCGGTATGTAGAGAACGGGAGGCATGGTCCCACAGCTGTAAAATATCGGTTTAGAGAGAAGGTTCCTAGGTATGAGAGTCAAATGGCGTATATGCTGGCTATCTGGTATTATCGACTTTTAATTTTCTTACTATGGGACCAACGATCTCCTAGCTTGATTTTGTTATCGATACGAAGACAGCGCTCATAAAGAAGGTATTTTGATGTCTCGCTCTTCTCTTCCCGCGGGTCGTACACTAGTCTAATGTTTTTTACGTTTGCTTGTGCCAGTACAGCCCGTTTTTTATACACTTTTCAACCTTCTTCAGCTCTGGAATCGTCTCGGGCATATTCGCATAGACCATACTTTTCGCGTAGCCCCAGAGAATGAAGTCCAATGGGGTCAAATTGCAGGACCCTAAATGTGAAAGTTTTGCTTGTCTTTTTGTGGAAAACTGGCAATGGTTGCTTGTTGTTCGAGCAATTAATTGGTAAATATCGGTATGATCTCTAGGCTTAAGTAGGCGTGTAAACCTAGGTATTTTGTTAAAATCCGCCGAACAGTGCCGTAGGAAAGGTTAATTTGCAGTGCACGACGACGATTTGAGGTTGTCGCGGCCGAACGGTCTGTACAAAGGCGCACGGATGTTTTTACGTTTTGCATCGAACCATTTTTTTGGAATTGCTAAGACAAATGGCTGATTCGTATGACCCTTTATGTCGACAGACAAAAAAAAACAAAGTGCGGGAAGTGCACTTCTTATAGAAAGACAAATTTCATAAAACTTCTGGATCACTTTTACGCATTGTTGTACTGAGTATCATTCCATGACTAAGTTTGCCAAAGCCTGTGGTACCAATTTTCTATATATATAGAATATAGAAAAAAACATTAACATACCACAAATATTTAATCGCTGCTGCATCACCCTAAATTATTATAATCAAATAAAAAAATTTAATGCATGTTTTAAGGTCCTCTAAAACTTTTTTCTTTTTCACCAGGCAGTGCATTTTCACTTTACATTCATCGGAAGTGCATTCAAAATCATTCACTGTTGTAATCGCTTTTTATTTGCTTGACTTTTTTTGTTGCTGTTCCACATTTCTTTTCAGTCAACAAATCAAATAAAATACTGTAGTCATTAACTATGATGGTGTAAAAAGCATCATCATCACTTCGAAATTCATGTTACGCTCACCGTTCTATTTATAAACTGCTATTCTTTTACTTTCAAGGCTTTTCTGTTTTTTCACATTTGATTGTATTTAAGCACATTCTTTTTTTTTTATTGCTAAACGTGGCATTATCTCTGTTAATTTTGTTTCGACTGGACCATTCTCCTTTAACGCATTTTTAACAACTTTTTACTCAGCATCAATTTGAAGTATTTCAGAATCATAAAATACATACACACACACATTGTTGTTGCCTTACACACATATTTGCGTTAAAGTTTACTTTTTCTCCTGTTACTTTTACATTCACTATTTATTTCTTTTCGTATACTTAACATCGTTCGATTGTAGGTAGTTATAACGCAATTAATTTTTTATTGTTATCGTTTTCATGAAATTCTTCGTTTGTCATTATTGTTGTTGTTATTAATTAATTCATCAGCGTGCAACCAATATTCAAACAAAAATCGTATACTAAATAATTACAAAAATATTTGATTGTTAACTAATATGTAATTTTGCATTTTTCTCTTCTCTTTTCTCTTTCCCCTTCCACAATTTTTTTTTTTTTTGCTCATGCCACCTTTTGTGATTGTTGCACACGTTGTTGTATGGTATTTGCGTTGTTGCACACAATATTTGCTTTCTGATAATAGCATACGATAGCGACGATATCGAAGAACTGCAGGAGCCATCAGACGATGAAATCAAGGAGGGGCAATGGCTGGGCGTGACTGTGCGGTCGCAAGGACTCGGTGGAAAGGTAAATGGATAAATAGTATTACGCATATTTTACATGCAGATGATTAATTTAGGTATCGATATATCAAATTTCTTTATAAAAATATACAGTGGGGAGCAAAAATTAGTAAATGGTGATTTTTGTTAAATATGTATTTGCAAGGCATTATTTTTTTGAATTTTTTAATATGAATTCTTAGAAAATTTTTGGGTATACAGTTTTACAGCCTATTAAGTTTTAGTGTATTTAAGTGCAAGTTTTAAGAGGCTGAAGAATCGCATTAATTTTTAATTTGTTTTTTTTTTTGTGTTATATAAACTGGCATTGATTTTTTTTTTTAATTTTCTTTGCAAACGGTATTGCGCTTTTTTTCTATAAGAAATTTATGCTTGTATGGGAAAAAGCTAATTAGACGTCGGCAAAAAAAAAATAAGAATCAAAAATTTTTTAGCCGCTTAACGCTTGCACTTAAATATATAAAAACTCAACATTCTATAAAACTGCATACCTACCCAAAATTTTTCTAAAAATCAGATAATAAGTATTAAAAATTTTTATGAAAATTTGTGGAATTTTCCTAGGCCTGTATAGGGTTTGTAAGCTTTAAAGTTGGTTAAAGCATGAACCATAGTTTTATAAAAAAAAGAGCAAAAAAAGTTGATCTTTAAAAACCTTGCTAATATTTGACAAAAATCATCACGTCCTAATTTTTGCTTTCCACTGTGTGTACATGATTTTCATATGTACATATTCAAAATATGGAGTTCCGAATTCTCAATTTTAAACTAAAAGATTAAAATATTCAAAGTGAATTTTAGAAACTCCAAATTAGTACTAGAATATGATTCACGCATGTTCAACAATAAAAAAGCATATAAATAATAACTGCTGACATTTATTGACTTTCAATACATATGTACATATTCACTTTTAACATTGAATTCCCTGACGACCTCAACAATACTTAACCTTTTGACCGTTCGATTCAACGAATAAAAGAAAAATACAAAAAAGAGAAACATCAATAGAAAAATGTATAAGGTCATAAACTCGTTCTACGTAAACACTCTTAATGACTTAATTAAGATACATAAACATTGCTTTCTTTAGCTATAGCGTAGCCGATAAATCTTGTACCAACTCGAGCTAAAAATGTTTTTTTTTGTTTATTGATTTTGTTTTGTGAAGTAGGAACTGCGTAAATTAAATATCTTTGGGTTAACCTCTTTTATTTCAGAACATAATAATCACCTTTGTTATTATGTAACTTCTTTGATTGTCAAATTTATAATCTTTTATTGTTTTCTTTTCTTTTCTTCTGTTCTTCACTGTTTTCTTTTATCCACTAGGTACTCGTGTGCGCGCATCGTTACATCACCACAGTGTTGGATAATCGTTATGGCCAAGGATTGTGCTATGTCTTGACCAATGAATTGAGCTATGATGAAGTGTATGAGCCATGCAAAGGGCGCACTGTGCAAAGGTGAGTATTCGATTGTTTTCTGATACCAATTCACTGCCTTTGTGGTTTGGAATTGGACAAAAAATTAAATGTTTATGTATCTAAACAAACATAAATTTATGTTAGGAAGCATGCTTGCGTTCATTTTGGGCATTTCGTTTTATTAATTTTTTGCTGTTGAGTCCCCTCCTTCCAATATGAGCGAATCAGCTTGGAGATGGAGTACGAATGAAAATATACCCTTTGAAGCAGTAAGCAATGAATATTTTCTATAGAATGAAAGTAGGAAGAGAGGTGTGACTGTCAGTGCCCAGCTGCGGCACACTAAAGTGGAAGGGTTGTTGTGTTACCACAAAAGTCAAAGTTGCACTCCTTTTGCTGCATTTAAGATTTGTATCAGCCAATCCTCTACTCCTGTACAGTGCGGATAAGGTAGAGACGGACGGTGTTTTATATTGCCCTTCTTCTTAAAAAATACGATATTCTATATATTTTATTATCTCATCCAGGCCATGCTTTCCTAGATATCCTAGGCGGCGTGCTTTGTATTTATTCATCTTTCATTTGCTAGATCATAGACAAATTATTTGAAAAGCAAGCTTGCAAGTAGCAAAAGGAATACTAATACGTTCTTTTACTGGATGATTTTGCTTGGTCGTGCCCTCCTTGCAAGTTAGTCCGTAATACATTTCTATATCTCTAAGATTGGGAGCCCATATAAGGTTAAGAATATTCAGTTTGAGTTAATAGTGACGGAGCTCAAAGTTCTGATTGCGCTTGGTTTTCACTAAGCATGACAACATATTATCCAAATGTTAGGGGTTCCGAGCTCATAATAGCTGAAACCCCAATCTGACGCACACAATTAGCTATTTAAGATAGCGTTGCCCCAGAAAATTCCTTTTTCCACTTGGATGAAAATTCCAATACAACCAGGTAAAGTGTAATGACTTTGCACCACTCATTCACCCCATAGTGAAATTTCCATCACAATACTTGTCCGTATCTTGCTGGGTTAGCAACCGCTATATAAGTCCAGCGAAATATTCTTGGGTTTGAACCCCATTTTTTGCCTGTAGCTGTCTTGGACGAGTACAGAGCTGTCTAAGCCTTCTTAACGTTTAGCTATCTTCTCTGTCCACACCAGCTCTTATCCAGAAAATTAGGCTTAGTTCGTGAGACTAACGCGGGAACCGTTGCCCTCTAGTGGAGTTATCGTCGGTTTTGTATGCCTTTTTGAAAAGACTACAACCTCAAATTTATCGGATTTTACGCAACGGCCTCCTTTACAATATCAGCGTCAATAGCATAGGGGGCAACTTTGGCACTTCCAATTATGTCTCCTGCCAGAGGGAGTCCGGTGTTTAGTTCCAAAAAAGCGGCAGTATTGCCACCTTGTGGGGTTCCCCTTGTCCCGTCTCTTGAAACCCGGTTCTCTTTTATGTTTCCCGTCACCACCTGCCTATAAGTATTTGCGCTCCTACATTATGTAGAAAGGCTATAAAACCAAAGACTCATCGATAAACCTGACCACCCTATGAAGCGTCGTATCTATGGTAAGCGCTATACTGCCTATTCTCTCTTGGGATTTAAGCACAAGCGACGAGAGACCTATAGTCCTAAGATGTTTTGGAAGTCTTAGGGGTTTTAGGGATAATTAATACCGATACAGCTCTAAACTCCATAAGTATGTCTTAAAACATGTCTTGTTGAAGAAAAATTTTGTAACAATCCTGCGAGAAAATTTCCATGTTTTGATGCAATTACTGTCGCAATTACTTTCTCAAGTTGAACTACTAAGCAAACCAAACATGAATGTCTAATAACTATGGTGGAGCAGCTCTGTAAACAATTTTTCCAAGCACGCATGCAGTATTGCCCGCTGGACTTAAGGCCCTCTCTGCTTGAGAAGGAGTTTCGCTACCACCCTGTTAGGCCATTCCAGGAAGTACTTGGTTGTTGAGTTTTATTAATGAAATTCTTGTCCCCGCTATCCTTGGCCCAAAAGTCGGCTCCGATCCCATTATCCACTCCATTTCCATACTAAACACTCAATCCGATCTAAACTTTTGCACCCATCTTGTTGACATTTTCCGATTTCTTGACCTTAACCTTTAATTTACTACGTAGTTCAGAAGAAATATCTACGCAGCAATGATGTAAAACACGTCACCCCCATGACGCTATTTTGCATTGCATACTATACTTAAACACAAATTAACCTTGAAAGGATTCTCCTAGTTGATATATTTGTAAGCTTCAAAAATAGAGCTAATAATCATAAATTATATTTTATAAAAGTAATTTGGTGTCTAATATGTTCTTTGACCTTCCCACAGCCAGTTAAAATGGGGCGCTATCGCATAATATAAACTTACGCACCAACTTCAGAATAAATGACGCGACAAAATAAATTGTGTGATAAAATATTCCATACAGAATGACTGAAAGTCCTTTGCGTGATTAAAATCAAATTCATTTATCACAAACGTCACTAAATTGGCGCAAAGGATATGCACACATACATATGCATGTACATTAGGGTGGTGCATGAGAAAAAGGTAAAGTCGGAATTTTTGTCTCTCACCCCCTACGATTGTTCTATACCGAAAAATATATCCCAATTTTTTTATTTTGAAAGCAAAAAATATTTAGAGGTCGCTCAAAGCGCCCAAAATTTTTCATAACAACCTTTCGTAGAAATGGTATAAAATTCTTGAAAATCAATATTTTTCGACCGTTTCTCTTCAGGGGATTCCCAGTAATAATACCCAACTATTGTTTAACAATTTTTTCATAAAAACTATGTGTTATAGGTCCGCCAAAACCCTAGAAAACGCAACGGGTGGGATAAATAAAAGATTTTTAATATTAAAAAATTGTTAAACAAACAATTGGGGATTGTTATTGGAAGTCTTCTGAAGAGAACCAGAGTTTCCCGATCGAAAAATATTGATTTTCAAGAATTCCGTACCAGTTCCACGACTTTACCTATATTCGACCCCCCTAATGTACATATATAAAAATACATATTCACGCATATATTAGGAATACAAATATGTACATTAGGGTGCATCACTCTCCATACAAACAAAAAATCGGGACTGTTTTTCCATCGGAAATATAAAACTTATTAAATTTTAAGACTACTGTCTCGGAAAATATTAAGATTTACATGAGCTGAATGTATTTTAAAATACCTCCAAAAATCGATTTTTTTTCTTTAATAAAATAAGTTTTAAAAAATTTTATAAACTGAATCAAAATAATGAGATTTTCGGCGGAAGTCTTAATATATAATAGATTTTATAATTTGGTGATGCTCCCTAATGTAAGTACACATTTGTGTATAAAAACCGAAGTGAATATGCAAAACGATGATAGATAAAAACAGTAAGGGAAAACATAAAAAAAACAACAAGTTATATAAAAATGTGTCAAGGCAAGTCAGCATAGTTCTCTTTTTTATCGACTTCACGCCGAATGTGGCGGCAAAAAGTAGTGGGTGTGTTACCATCTCCATTGTCCTTAGATAAGAACAAAAAGAAAACATTTCATTGTTTTGTTTAGCCTTTCTCTTGCGTTGGCCATTTTACGCTTACGCTTAGCAGCTGACCACCACACTCACTCGTTGTATCCGCTTTCATCGTGTAAAATAAGCAGTTATTTGTCCTTTTTAATGATCTACGTCATGACGTGCCTTCACATTCATTACTTTAGGTTATTTTACTGCTTGCGTCGCATGTCAAATGAACATTTGGCATAGAGGTCTATTAAGGGGTAAGGGTAGTTAGATTAGAAGAAGAAGACCACATGCGTACCTTTGCATAAAGTCAACGCATTATATACTCGCATTTTTCCGGTAGCCTTCAACAGATGTCATTTCGAGACATTCATACAAATTGAACTTTGGGATTCCGTTATTTATGCTCTTACAATATTAATATCATATTGTAGCATAATGTCGTAAATTTTGTATTAAATATTGTATACTGAGAAAAGAGTTTAATTACTTAAACGAAATATGCTCCTCTGAACACCTGATTTGGTTGTAAATAGTTACATTATTTGATTATAGTGACCGAATCATGTGTCGAGAGAAATAGATTTAGCCGAATTTTTTCTGAGTGTATAATGGCTTCATTGCTGAAAAACTGCTTAACTGACGTTAATGTTTTCACTCAGTGTATGCCTTTATAACCTTTTAAATCTCAAAAACGTCATAACCTAGGTACTACCCATCCAATGTCCCATTTAGTTTGGTTAAAACCCTATGGGACCTATTTCATAAAGCTAAGACTGACTCTTACATGACCTACATAGAAAACTGTAGGGATGGGAGTGGGCGGTTCATGGACAACTAAATCTGAAGAAACCCTCATCCATATATGCTTTCCTGGCTGCGATCAGACGCCAAAAATATGGCAGCAAACAAGTCGTCTGTAACTCACAAAAGATTTACTGGACTCGAACGTAGACTAGGACAAAATTAATTTCGTTATATATAGCTTCTTTCCCTGGCACACACAGCATTATACCGTGATTGCTGCAGAAATTGCAGGATTCCATAGTATCCTGGGTAGAAAGGGTCTAGCAAGGCCAGTATCATCTTGACTTTCATCCCGCAAAGCTGGAGAATAGTGAAAGTGTTCCCCATTCCCAAACCAGGAACAGTAAGTCCAACTTTAAAAATTTCACCACATTAGTCTGCAATTGACTTCCGATTGAATTTCGAACATAACTCACCTTGAATCCAACATTCGGGATTCTGTGTTTCACTTTACGAGTTTCATTTCCACTTTATTTCGTATTGAAGAACCTGCCTGTAAAATTCGTAAAGTGAAACACAAACCCGAAACTCCGGATTCAAAGCGAGTTTTGTAGAATTTCACGCGGAAGTGAATTGCAGAACATCCCTGACCCATCCTATTGGTTCTCGCTTGCGAATTATTGCGTAATATTTATATTTTTTTATTGAAAAACTTTGCCCTCATACATGCAGACTGATTAGGCCCAACTAT